AGTCAAAGTTGAGAAATACAGATCAAAACCTCGGGAAAACCTCTTCCTCATCAAGTGCGTGCGCTAATTAAAAGGACAGTGGTATTTTTCCTCGCTGAGTAAATTTTATTGTTTTGATCGTTTATTACGTATCAAGATTACTGATTTCACTTTAATCGAATTCATTTCAATTCAAGTATTCGATAAAAGTATCGTTTATGTTCCCAAATTAGTTTGTCGTCGGTACTTTTGTGTACGTTGTTTTTTATTGTATCTGTTAGTACTTTTGGCGCTAGCAATCTACAGTTTTCCACTTCTTTTGGTCATGAATAGTTTTTGTCTCTGAGTATTGTTGCATCTAGTTCTTCTTTCTAAAAAGACCCCTGTTTAATGACTGGAAAGCGCAAAAAAAGCAATTGACAACGTTTGGGCTGTCGTTACCCCGTTGAAAGCGGCATGCAGTGTGATGAGTGAGAAGACTAGTGTAAGATCCATTTTGAATGCTTTGTGTGTTTGTGAAAATCCCTCCATGTATGTACTTGCACTTTGTTCCTATTGATTCTTTTAGTTGTACATTGTTAACTTTTTGACTACATTTGAATTGTTAATATTTGTATTTTATCATAGTTTTCGTTTTTACTACACCTTCCCCAATCCCCCATGTTTCTTCTCGAACTGCACTTATGTTGTTTTACTTTATACTAAGTCTGGGCTGCAGCGTTTTTGGTTTATCCCTGCTTTTGATTGCTTGACCTGTGTTGACTGGAATTGTGCATTTTGGTTGTGAATTGAAGCACACTTCCAGAATTGAAAACACTCTGTGTTATAGAGCGACCAATTATTACCTTTTGAACGAATCTGTACGTGATCTATCCAGACAGGATAGAATAACAGTTATTTGTGGTGTTTGTTTAGATTTGATCAACTGAAGGATTATTGTTTGGATAGCTGAGTGGTTATATTTGTTTAGAACCGTCATCTTACCCAATTACTTTGTTTTGGTTTCAAACGGGCGAGGGCGCGTATCTAACTCATTCCGACAGCTGTCCGGCAGTTCAAACCATAGTTTGGATCTTACAACTAGTACCACGAAGCTTGCACGAATAAAACGCCTGCGGCTTTCAAATGGTTCAGTAAAAACGTTTGCGTATGGCTTTGTCAACAGTGCTGTTCGGATGCAAACGGCTTGCTAACCGAGGCCATCTCATTGGTAAGTGCTGCAAAAAAGTGTTTTGGCAAGCGTGGTCGGGACACACTGAACAGTACTCGCTCTATCGACATGCAAATTGGTGTGAAACAAACTCAGGTCAGTTCGAAAACAGGTGACTCACACCGACCAAAGAAGGAAAAACAATCTTCAAAGAGGTCTGTCTCAGCCAAAAATTCAAGAGAATAAGTTCCTTCTGTCCCCCGTCTTCTAAATGGTATCGAGCAGGAAACGCCTAGAAGCCTCAATGGCAAGGCTCGATCGGTTTCAAGCGGGAAACATAACCTTACCTCCCAAACCGTCGACAATCCTCCGGAATACCACAGTATGTTTGACGCAACTGTGGTTGCCTCTCATAGCAACTTTGATGAATGGGTACAGGTTGTAAGGAAGAAACAACATGACGATGTAAAGGTGAATCCTGCTCCCATAAAAGCATTCGAGAAATCGAAGGGTGATCACAGTGACAGATTAGTTATTTTTCACAGAATCAAGAAGAGTGAAAGCTCTGAACCAAAAACTCGTTTTGAGCATGACACTGTGCTGATAAAACAGCCATTTAATGAACTCATGCCTCAAAATATCCTCGGACTCACCCTGCAAAAGGTGTGCAGACTAGGTAGTCTATCGAACTTGGAGCTTGATCAGTCCAGACTACTTAAAGTTGTATTCAAATATTCGAATGAACGCGACTTAGTTTTACAGAATGGACGTAAATTAAAGGGTTTGGGAGTTTTTATCTGCAAGGACATGCCGTTGGCAGACCGAGTAAAAAGACGGGAGGCCAAAAAAACTACAACTTAGGTTAGACGCTGGTGAAAAGGACATCAAAATTGCAAATTTTCGGGTTGTAAGGCCTCGACAGAGAATGATGTCGAAGCCACTATGGGTGAAGCACGAAACTGCTTAAATGGGTTTCGGATCTGTTACACTAATGCTCGACGCTTACTCAATAAGCGATCGGAACTAGCTGTACAGATTGACTCTACAAAGCCAGACATAATCGGTCACAAAAACCTGGCTGACACAGTCTATAGATAGTATGGAACTTGATTTCGAGGGTTTTACGTTAGTAAAAGCCGACAGAATGCCAGAGCGTATAGGAGGTGGAGTAGCACTATTCATTAGGAATGCTATCCCATCTTCCATTATCGACAGTGTATCGCATGAGAGTGGGACGTGTGAATTAGTTAGTTGCCGCTTGAAATTCAAGGGACAAGAGCTGATGATTGGTTTGGTCTATCGCGGTCTAAGCTATAAGGTAACAGCAACTAAGCTGATTCCCGGAATTGCGAAGCTTCCGTACGCTGCTCGACTGGCCAAGCTGAACCTTTTCCCGTTGTCATATCGCAGAATTGAAGGCGGCTTATTTACAGGTTTCAAATTGCTTTGTGATAAATTTGCACCGGATATGCCCTCATTTTGCTTGTCTTCCAAAACAGAGAATTTGCGAGGACACTTCAAAAAAGTTCAGAAGCCCAGAACTAATGAATTGTCAGCTGACTATCGACTTTTCCATCGAAACATCAACGAGTGGGGTTCATTAACTTAACACGTGGTTGAGGCTCCATCCGTCGACTCATTCAAAAGAAAGTTGGATCAACTGAGAGATCACCATTGCCAGAATTAAAACAGGCCATCAAGCTTCATGTCCTTTCCAAACTGAAGCTGAAGTATGCAACAATATGGAACAGTCTTCCCTCCGAAATATGCATGGCAGACGAATTACATGCGTTTGTAAAACTGCTTGATCAAGCTTTTACTTGCACTGATCTAGCACGTGAAAACACATCTGCGCCCCACTCAGACATCATAGGCTCTCTACATGTATAGACAAAAATGAACTTCAAGTTCATTTTGCCTTATTTTTCCTACTTTGCATTCGTACTAGTTACTTTTCCACACTATTTCTTCACTTGAAGTAGACAGGCAACTCCCTGGACCTATCGATACTGTTCAAATAAACACGGTAGATAAGGGACACTTACTACCACCATAAAAAGTCAAGAGGACCGCATGATCGACTGCCTACTGCTAGTGGTCTTGCATCTGTGGAGCTTGTTATCTATCAGCTGGTTAGGACAACACAAAATAACATCAGCACCAAGCTAGTGTGAGTTTCTGTTTATTCTTTATTGGCTTTTTACTCTTCTGTACACTATGTTGACTGGCAGTTACCGTTGTTTCTCCATTCGTTACCTTATCTACAACTCATGTACTTCTGTACTTTTCCGCCCGCTTTAATAAACAACTATTCTACATTATACCCTTCTTAATGCTTATACTCTAATTGGAAACCTATACTTTATACTATAGATAATTAAATCATTGCACCGATGCCTTACCCACAATCCATAACTTGCAAATGCCTGATAAGCTTGTAATGTGATACTCATAGAAAGTGTTTTCCAACAAGATGTGAAGCACAGAGGATTTTGTGAGGTATGACATATATCCAAAAATAAGCTTAAATGAGCCTAACATCACAAGAGGAGGGAGGGTGGAGTTACTGACCAGCAAGCATTAATGGTAAGGGCGATGACTTCAATCCACCCGTGTTTGTGGGGCAGAACATTTTGTATGTATCGGGCTCTTTATAATTGAGAATAAACCGATCCATCTGTGATAAAGATTGTCTTCCTACGCTCACCACCCAGACTAATGTTTCCAATTTTATGCTGGATTGGCTATTCTACTAAGACAACCTATAACATGCTAACTCGGACTTTTACACTAGAATTGCGTGGCTGACATCGGATGGACAAAAAAGAAAAGAAAGGTAAAATTAGACAATAAAAGATATGGTCATTAGTATTCTTAACATTTCAACCTCTATATACACACTCCTAATAAACTGCTTTCCTTTTACCAACCTTGACCTCCCTTCCTTCATGTGGGCTTACTCCGATGTGTTAAACATGACAAGTAATCGTTCTCTATTACTTCATTCTCTTATATGAAGCCTCTGACATCATTTCACTCTAACAAGAGACACTATGAATGTAATCTATCTGTTCTACTACACAGTGTTAAGCGACGTTTGGCGTTCATATCCAAGTGCCTTGCTGCTCCTCTGTTTGTCTTTCTTTTTTTCTTCAGAATATTGCTCTGAGCGCACAGCTGTGGGTATTATGACATCTGGAACAAACTTGGCGTACGCGTCTCCTCAATGTCATGTTTTAGAGCAGGCGCTCTACGAGTCTACTTTATAACAACTATAAACGTAGTAAGTTGGGAGGCATACTGTACGCCGACAAGTGTAATTTATAGATCAAGCCCGTAAAAATGGCGTGTACCTGCCCATGCAGAAACACATTGTTATTTGACTTATTTAGTTCCGTTGTTAACTAATGGGATTCAAGTCAACGGTTATACACGATGAATGACGACATGTATGTTTCAAAAACGATCATTCATAAGATCTAAATGGAGTCAGATCTCGGGCCACTTTGTCTGGATTTATATGCAAATTCATGATTTCATATACTTGAGGAAGAGGAAGGTTGAATAGCGTGAATTTTTATAGAAAATATCCCTTTACTTAGGCACCAGCGCAATAAAGGTTTGAGAATAGATCCTGCAATAAGTCGCGTAATGAGAGTCCATTCATGCCCACACAACTGACATGTAGTGCTTCTTTTAGAGTTGTTCATTTATATCTCTGAAAAGGAACGACATTATTGGAACGATTTATTTTTATATACAGTGTAATGCCTGTCAATCGATTTTAAATATGAACCAAAAGCCACATTGACTGTTCACCATACGCTTCACTAATGATCCGCAGCAAAACTCTCAGCACAGAAAAGTTTCCGGGGTATGTCTAATTAGAACCTGAACTATTGACAGAGGCGGTTGTATGATAATCATATTCAGTACCTGTGTACAGGTGAGCGTATACCCATTGTTTCACATAGAGTTAATCGTTTTTGTCTTATCAAGGTAGAAATACAATAGATCCTGTGTTCCAACATATACGACCTATCCTTCTTGTTGATCATCATTAGGGTTCTTGTTATCTATGTAGTAAAAATTGTTACCCGCACTCAATTTCTAAATAAGATTGGGTGTTATTTAAGCTTGCTCTTTTGCATAAAGCAGGGTTTTTCTGAGTAAATAAGGTTAATCTAGTGAGTAAATTATCAAACTTGTGTGTTTGACTAAAAACCTGGAGTAACAGTTGTGGTTTGGAAATTATTGATCGCCGCTTACCCTTCAAGACAATTGCTTATCAACATTTACCGAAACACTTCACTGGCTTAATGGGAAGACAGCTTCGTGGTAAAAACCCATGCTAGCTGCGCTGATTTTATTCTGAAGGATTTTTGCAGATACCCTTTAAAGCTGTATAAAAAATTTGCTTTTTCTCAACTAGTCTGACGGAAGAACTTTCCACACAATCTTCAATAGTTTCAACCGTCCCCATTTAGAGTACGGAAACATAGTACTCCCCCCCTCACTCCATAAGGACAAAGTCACTTTGGAGCGTATCCAACGCCGAGCCACGAAATCAGTTCGAGGATTCAAATCTAAGCCTTACAAAGAACGCCTCCGTTCAGTAGACCTTTACCCACTAGAATATAGGCGTCTTAGAGGTGATTTACTAATGGCTTATAGCATTCTTAACACTTCTGGACATCCTCTTAAACACCTATTTAAGCTTAGTTCGAATAATAACCTAAGGGGTAACACCCAGAAACTGGAAACACAACATAGCAAGACGGAATGTAGACACAACTTTTACTCCTTAAGAGTTGTCAAAAGCTGGAATTCGCTGCCGGCCGAGCTAGTCCAAGCGACTTCTCAGGAGTCCTTCAAGAGGCAACTTGACCTATTCTTAAGGACCAAGGACAGCATCACATTATGATTTACCAATTTCTTTTCCTTTTTTATTGTTAACATACCTAGGTTCCTGCCTGGAGGATTTGGTGATCCCCTGCTACTAGACACGGAAGTCTGTTAAGCGAAAGCTTCTTCTATTCCGTCCACAACCATTTGAACCATTTAGTCATAACAGTTATATGTTCAAAATCTGCCTTAGTAAATTCTTAACCTGATTTTCCGTAGATAATCTGTATTAGTTGGGCAACATTTATGAGTCTGAACTCGTACTTTTAAGTGTCATTTCAAACTGAACGAATGATTACAAAGTATCACCAACATCGCAGCTTATCTGTACGGTGACATCTCCAGATACGTCAGTCAGTCAGCAACAACGTAGAACTTTGTACGTATGTACATCAGTTAAAGTTGCCATGCTACAGCACAGTGATACAATTTTCTATTCAAATCCCATAGTGGTAGATGTAGTAAAAGTATAAGCAGTAATCGGAAAGATGAAGGTTTGGGGATGTTATTTAAGGAGTATAATCCAGTGAAATAAATTTGGAAAGAGGAAAAAAGGACATGAAGAAATCAGGAGATTAGAATTTGAGAGAACACAAAGAGAAGATGCACCTGCGCCATTGCAAACGATTTTGAACCATGTCATTCAAGGTCTGTAACCATCTGTTGCTATCATCTCACGGATCCCAACCGGGTAGTCTACACCTACCAACATGGTTCAGTCTACTTGTCAGTGACTTCATGGATTTGTGCCATATTTTGGTCCGGTCTCCTATAGCTTTCTTCCAACCGTAGCTGCTACCTTGACGTGGTGGTCGGGCTCACCTATGGTGATGACCCAACCGAGCCATGTTGGCTGTAGGTCCGACCATGTCAGGCTAGTCGACTGGAGAGCGGTAAGACTAAAAGTAGCAACTCAAGGTCTGAGGGCGGAGTACTGTTGACAGTAGAGAGATGTGTCAGCAGTAAGTGTTTCCCTCGGACAACCAGCATCTGCAGCGATGCTGCTTTATCACAAGGAAGGAAGGAAAGGATTAGGAAATGTCGACTCTAAAAATGTCACACTTCGCGGATTTTTGTCTCCGATGGTAAGGCCTTTTGAAAAACAGAGCTATCACGTTAAGAACTTCCCACAAAGGCTGTGCGTGACTGGCCTCAAGCAGTTGTCCCTTGGACTGTACAGTCACGCTCCCAGGTCGTTAAGACCAACGCTAACCCATCTTTGGATAGTGATTTTCCTTAACGTTTGTATTCGTTACAGGTTGCAAAGCCTTAGAATGACTTTCTCCAGACAAATGTATTCGATTAACCTATTACGGACAGGTTGGCTGCATTATTATGTTAGCAATCGGTACTCAGTAGTTCCAGTCACTGGATTATCCGAAGCATCAGTAGCTAGTGACCAGGAATCTGAAACTAATTCCAACAAACTTAAATCCCTCAATTTCTCCGTGAATTCAGTTACGTTACTCGGGACTGTCATCGGAATAAAAGTAAGTTACCAGTTCTATTGAGGAGATACTGTATTTTATGATAAATGAACTTACTAATAATTAGCTCTATTTATCCTTACAATATTTCACTGTCTCATCTACTAGTCGTTACTTTTATCTTTTATTAAACACTTGGGTGTCACTTTCTGCTAGTCATACATCTGTTAATCTCTCTCTCTCTATCTATCTATCTATCTATCTATATATATATATATATATATATATATATATATATATATAAATATAAACTATAGTCAAATGAATTCTGATTAACATAGCTTGTTTAATAGTTCTATGTTAGACAAACCTTTCATCTGTATAACTGTGGCGTGTCCGATGCTCACCCAGAAGGGAAGTTTGTAATGACGGGCTCCAATTCAAATTTCACAAGATTGATTAATTCGTGGGAAAATGTAAGTCTCAAATGTCATTCAAATCAAAAACCACTTTTCGTGTATCCTGGGATTAAACGTCATAAATTACCGCGCCCAAATTACGTACGTTCTGCCTTCCTGTCTATAAAATTGAGAGTTTTGGGAATTAATGTTTCAACATCCTGGGGTGAGTCTGTAGTCGTCCGTGACTTTAAAAAGGTCACTTCACTTAAGCAAAAACCATCGGTTGATAAGTCCGCTTCCGATTGCATCCAAATATTGGCTTTCATCATGCTTTGGAGATTGTTCGAAATCCGTGAAAAATAGATTTGCGAGGAACAAGCCGGTTTTCGTTCTGATCAAGAATGTATTGGTGATATCTTCAGCCTTCACAAAATGTTCAAACACCTCCACACTTACTGGAGGCCAACAGTTTTTGTTTTTCTTGGTATCGAGTTCTACTCATTAGACAGGACTGGTTTATAGCAATCTGGGCCATCTTTGGCGTCTTCGTGATGCCGGTCTGGCTATTAAATGTTGGATCTACAACTAATCGTTAAGAGCAGTTTCGCTCCATGCTTGTAAAGTCTGACCTCTCCGGAATGAGGATATTAAGTGACTGCGTGATTGATCGTCATCGACTCAGATGGATTCAACGGCAACATCATGGTGGCAATGCGGACGTACGGAGACAATAACGATAATTGAACTGGAATCATCTCGGAACGCCGATTTCTATAGCTTGGACATATACTACAAATGTCCCAGCGAATTGCCATATGGTACATTATTTGCTGACGCTGTAGCCAGTTGGAAAAAGCGGAGAAGTGGTTAGTGCTTGACATGGTTTCTTTGTATGTAAAGAAACTCTGCAGGACTCGCATCTCTTGACACGTCACGACTCTCTGATTGCAGTTTAAAAAATAGTGCAACACACTGGTTTGAGTCATTACCAGACATGACTAAGAATAGAGCCCTGTGAAGATCCTGTTATAACCTTTTTTACTTTCTCCATATAAGTGAAAGAAACTTCAACTGAAAGGATCTTATCTGGTTGTATTTTTTTTAAAAATGAACTCCCATTATTATTATTTTCGGTTTCACACTTACTGCTCATTCCTGTTACTCCTTGTGGAGCATAGGACAATGATCAGAATTCTCCATCAGACTCTGTAATGGGAGTACTTTCCAGTAGCTATTCATCCTTCTGATGTCTGCTTCCAGTTCCCGGCTTAGTGTATTCTATAGTCTTCAGCTTTTTCGTTTCCCTTTAGAATTCCGAGTTAGAGTCATATTGAAACGACGTTACGTAATAATCGGCTGGCGAAAAAGTTGTAAAGTGACAATAATTGTCTACTTGGTAGCTATTAAGGACAGAATAATTAGGAGTTGTACTTACTAATGTACGCCTGTTACCCCTCGTAGAGGTGCATAGGCTGCATACCAGCATTCTCTATCTTACTCTGTCCTGGGAAATACTTTCCAGTTATTTCCAGTTGCTATTCATCCTTCGGATGTCTGCTTCCAGTTCTCAGCCCAATATGTTCTCCAGTCTTCAGCTTTTTCGTTTCCCTTTAGAATTCCAAGTTAGGGCTTGCCTTGTGATGCAGTTTGGTGATTTCCGCAGTGTGTCACCTATCCGCTACAAGTGTGTTTAACTGATTTCCACTTTAGCTGAATGCTGGTTTGCTCTCTTTCTCTCTCTCACAGCGGCTGTTGCTGATGGCATCCGGCCAACGAACATTGAGTATCTTGCGTAGACAATTGTTTACAAATACTTGTACTTTGTTGATGATGGCTGTAGTATTTCTCCAAGTTTCAGCTCCGTACAGTTGAACTATCTTGACGTTCGTATTGAAGATTCTGACTTTGTTGTTAGCTGCCAATTGTTTCGAGTTACATATGTTCTTCAACTGTAGGAATTCTGCTCTTGTTTCGTCAGTCCTCTCATTTACTTCTGTATCAGATCCTCCTTGTTTACCAATGAAACTGCCCAGTAACACGAACGTCTTCACCTCTTCCAGAGCTCCATCAAGTGTGACTAGGTTGGTGTTCTCCGTGTTGTATTTGGGGATCTTGGTTTTTTCCCTTATGTATGTTAAGGTTTAAGGATTCAGAGGCTGCTGCTATACTAGTTGTCTTCATCTGCATTTGTTGGTGTGTATGGGATAGAAGAGCTAGGTCATCTGCAAAGAACAAATCATGTAGCCACATCCAAGCTCTCCATTGTATTCCGTGCTTTCCCTGAGATGCGGAGGTCTTCATAATCCAATCGACCACCAGATGAAAGGAAAAGAGAGAGAGAGAGAGTGAGCAGCCTTGTCTAACACCGATTTTCACTTGGAATGAGTCTGTCAGCTGTCTTCCATGCACGACTTTGCAGTGTAGTCCGTCGTATGAATTTCTCATGATGTTGACGGTTTTCTCAGGTACACCATAGTGTTAGAGAAGGTTCCTCTATCCACACTGTCAAATACTTTCTCAAAGTCAACGAAGTTGGTGTATAGTGACGAATTCCATTCAATTGATTGTTCAACGATGATCCGTAGTGTTGCGATTCGGTCTGTACACAACCGATCCTTAGTGAATCCGGTCTGTTGATCTCGAAGTCGGGCGTCTACTGAACCTTTCATCTGGCTCAACAACACTGTTGAGAGCTTTTCCTAGTACCGATAGTAGTGCATCTGATTTCAGTGTTCCAGCTGGTTTAGTCAGGTTGCTGCTTTCCCACTCTTCATTTGTCTAATAGCCATCCATCGTCGGTGGAGTGATATCTATAGGAATGTCTGTGTGTGCTGCTTCAATGTCCAGTGGGTTCAGTGAGACTGGTCTGTTCAAGAGTTCTTCAAAGTCCTCTACGCAATTGTCCGGTTGTTCTTAAATTTCAGTGATTGGCTTGCCTTCTTTGTCTTTGAATAATCTCTCTGGTTTACAATATTTCTCTGTGAGCCTCTTCATTGTTTTATATAAACGTTTCATATTTCCTTCTCTTGCAGCTTTTCCCTCTGTCATTACTAGTTCTTCGATGTGTTTCTGCTTGTCAGCTCTAATGCTCTTCTTCGCTTGCTTGTTTGCTTCTGTTTATTCAGCTTGTGCCTTGACTTTCTCTGTTCTTGTTTGGCTGCTGTTAATTGCTGTCTTCTCGTTCTTCCTTTCTTGAATCGTGATATTGGTTTCCGTTAAGATACATTCCTTTTGAAGATACTTGCTGCTATGCAGTATAATCTGACACTTCAAAGTCAATGCTTTGAGTAGGTCATGTAAAGCTCTTGTTGAAAGTTATCTTGAATTCGTTGTTTGTCAGTATCTCGAAGGAAGGTTGTGTTGAACTTTTTTAGTGCTGTTTCCGCAATTGTCCAATTATCCTTTAGCTTCAGACACATCTTGGCCACAACTAGGTGTTCATCTGAAGCTATGTCAGCTCCTCTCCTGGATCTTGTGTCCCACATTGTCTCTCGGAATTTTTTGTTGATACAAATATGATCTATCGTGTTCTCCATAGTGCAGTACAGTGAGATCCATGTTGCTTTGTGTGTTCGTCTATGTGGGAATATTGTGCCGCTTATAACGAATTTGTTGAATGCGTATAGATTTGCAAATCTCTCCCCACTTTCGTTTCTCTCCTTCAGTCCATGTCGTCTCATGATATCTTGATATCCAGTGTTGTCCATTCCGGCTTTGGAGTTTATATCTCCCCTCAGGATGGTGAAGTCGTTTTTCGGGCACTTAGCTATGATTGATTGCGGCCACTCATAGAACTGATCCTTATTGTCATTGCTACCATCATTGGTGGTTGTATAATACTGGATGGCATTCATCATGATTCCCTCCGTTGTTTTAAACGATACTTTGATGATTCTGGTTCCGTAAGATTCTCGTCCCACAATCAGAGCAACTCACTGATTATGTATTGCATTTTCTCCATCGTGAATAGAGTACAGAAGCATCTCTGACTTATCTAACCTTTGATGTCCAGCTTCGGTCCAATGGGTTTCGAGTACTGGTCCCGAGTACTGCTTCTCATTTCCGTTGCTATTTGAATGATCCTCCCGATCTCCCACATTGTCCGAACTTTCCATTTTTCTATAAAAATTGTTGCGCCTGTTGGTAGAAGTGTCATAAGCCTTCTGATTTCGTAGGATCTACGCTTTCTTCTTGAGGCGTCATAAGTCTTCCTTTAACTTCCAGAGAAGGGATTAAATGGTTTGGTTTGTTTAATCTGGTTGGTGTTTTTAGCAAGATCTTTTTCCACAGGATGGGTTTACCGATCCCATGTCCAACTCTCACCCTTTACCCCGGCATGAGATCGGCAGTAATTCTGGAAGGACTATAGGCCAACTTCACCGACCAAAAGTATAGATAAGCATTGGTTGCAATTACATGACGCTATAAAAATGGCGGGTACAGTCAGTTGTGGGTTCGCGAAACGTCCCGCTTTTAAGAACTGGGTTTCTGCAGGTTCCTTACAACTCATTGAAGCCCGTCGGTCTACTCCGGGTGACCGTGAGTTTGACCATAAACGAAGGATGTTACTTAAGGAAATTGGGCAAAGCTTGCGTAAGGACCGAGAAGCCTCGTGGTCGAAGCGTGCTAATGAGCTGCATCTGGTAACCACCGGAAGCTCTTCCAACTCATCCGAGCCACTGGCAGCAAGAAGTCTGGTGTGAGCGAAACAGTCTATGAGGATGACGAGATGCCAATCACTAACATCCATCGACGTCTTGGACGATAGGCAGAATTCTTCGAAGGGCAGTTCAACTGGCCTGCTGCTTCGGCAACATCGGTCAGACTGTCTTGCCCTCCATGGCCGGTGACGACTGATCCACCAACGTCATAGAATGAGTCGATAGTTGTCCCTATCTTTAAAAAGGGTTCACGTCGTTCCTGTAACAACTATCGGAGGATAAGTCTACTTCCAATTGCGTCCAAGCTATTGGCTTCCGTCATACTTCGTAGGTTGTTCAAAACCCGAGAAAGATTGACTCGCGAGGAGCAGGCTGGTTTTCGTTCTGGTCGAGGATGTATTGATCATATCTTCAACCTCCGCCAAATGTTTGAACACCGCCATACTTATCAAAGGCCAACAATCGTAGTGTTTCTTGACATCAGGGCTGCCTTCGATTCGTTGGACAGGACTGTTCTCTGGAATTGTCTATTGAAGAAGGGTGTGCCTGAGAAGTTTATTAACATCCTAAAAGCCCTATATACAAACACTTCAGGCAGAGTGAGGGCATACAACCACCTCTCTCCATTGTTCCATTCGAGCAGTGGGGTTAGACACGGTTGCCCAATCTCGCCAGTCCTCTTCAACTTTGCCATCGATGACATCCTGGAAACAACGCTGATGGATGTAAGTAATGGCGGTGTGGATCTGTTGCCTGGAGAAAGACTTCTCGACCTTGAGTATGCGGACGATATTGTCTTACTGTGAGATAATGCCCAAGCCATGTAATCCGCACTTAATCAGTGTCCGTAGGTACGGTATGTGCTTTGCACCTTCGAAGTGCAAAGTACTTCTACAAGACTGGCAGGATTCTAATCCTATACTCACCCTGGATGGTGAGCTGATAGAAGTAGTTGAGAAGTTCGTGTATCTAGGTAGCTGCATAAGTGCTGGTGGGGGTGTGAGTGATGATACTAATTCACGAATAGTGAAAGCCAGGGCGGCTTATGCCAATCTGGGTCATCTCTGGCGCCTTAGTGATGTTAGTCTGGTTGTAAAAGGTCGGATCTACAACACGTCGGTGAGAGCAGTTTCGCTCTATGCTTGTGAAACCTGGTCTCTCCGAGTTAAGGACGTTAGACGACTCTCTGTGTTCGATCATCGCTGTCTCCGAAGGATTGCTGACATTCAGTGGCAACACCATGTCAGTAATGCAGAGGTTCGGGAACAGAAACGATAATGCAATTGGTGTCACCATCTTGAAACATCGACTTCGGTGGCTTGGACATGTTCTCCGAATGTCGTTCCAGAGAATTCCACATCGTGCATTATTTGCCGACTCTGGGACTGGTTGGAAGAAGCGGAGAGATGGTCAGTGTATGAAATGGTGTCGTAGTATGAAAAAAGCTGCAAAAGACTGGCTTCTGTCGGTCCTTCACGACTCTTTGGCTTGAGTAATAGAGATGGTTCAACACAGTGGCTAGAGACGTTATCAAATATGGCTGAGAATAGAAGCCAGTGTCGATTCTGCTGTAACCTTCTTTTACTTTCTTCATAAAAAGTGGTTGTGTCTCCCTTGCCTAGAAGATTTCTTCTGATTGTTCCTTTCCGTTCCCTCATTACTACTACACTACCTTACACCAATCTCTTCGTTATTGTTCTCTTTTTTTGCTATCCTTGGCTTTTTTTTCTATTTCTCTTCGAATTCTCATTGTTTTGTATGGTGCATATATAAATTGGCGCTCTCTTGTACCAATATTCATGTGTTCAAATAAAAATAATAATTCAGCTTGTGCCTTGACTTTCTCTTTTCTTGTTTGGCTGCTGTTAATTGCTGTCTTCTCGTTCTTCCCTTCTTGAATCTTGACGACGGTTTTGATGGAGGCCCATTCTTCGTGATGATGTTCCTTGGAGCCCATAACGTCTCGAGACGTTGAAGTTAGTGCCACTTTAATCCATTTCTAATTGTCGTCGACAGTGGTTTCTCCTGAGTAGATCTTGTAAGGTTTGGATCCTGTTGCTGTTAGCTATCTTGAATTCGTTAATTAAAAGTTGTAATAATTGCCAATTAATAATTTTGAAATAATTGGAAAAGAGTAAAAATAATAGAATAAAAAACGATGGATTGTGAAAATGTATATCTTATTCGGAGCATCTACAGACGTGCTACTCTTTGTGCTGATGCTTTTTGCGTCCCAACACTTGAATCTTGAAGTTGATTCATTCTTAATTCTTGTCCAGTTTTTCTCTGTATTATTTTTCTCTTACTTGAGTAGATCTTGTAAGACCTTTGTAGTGGTGTTTGCCAAGTTACTTACTATTTCTTTAGCTTATGTTTTAACTTTACCATCATCAGATGGTGATTTGAGTCTATATCATCCCCTCTCTTTGTTCTTAAATCTTCCATAGACCTGAACGTTTTATTTGTGCAAACGTGATGGATCTTGTTGTCACTCATGCACTAATTTCCATTTATTTTCGCTCTTTTTCTATTATACTCATTTCCCTACCTCTTAACTACCCCATTTTTATTGTGTGGCGCATGTATATTTCTCTGCTCCTTAGTACCAATTTTTGTTTTCAATAAATTTACTTGCCAGGCCATCTTAGGAAAAAAGTCTTTCCTATATTCTGCTACATTTCAGCTACTTACAGCCATATATGCATTAAAATGTAACATTGAGTTATGATATATTGTGACACAAAATTGATAACAGAAAGAATTAAATCATAAGAACTATCAATGATGATTACATATATATTGATATCGATATTTGTAAGAACAGGTGTGATGTCATTTGGAGATGGAGTACATACAACATAGGGGGCGGGTGAGGCAGTAATTAAATGAAGTTCGGAAACAGATATGATAGATTGTGTGATAATTCAAAGTTTATGAAGAGTTTACATAAGATTACAATTATTGTCCAGAATTAGAAATTAGTATGATGGGTTACATAGCAAATTCACGGGACTTGAAGAGTTTGCAGAGAATTGAGTAAGTGAAAAAATGGATGAGTGATGGGTTGAATTCGGTCTGCATAAAGTAAGAATTAGTTTGACGAGAATCATATCACATAACAAAGACTAATAAAATAATCATAATAATGATATTAACAACAAATAACTATTTAACTTAGTAGTGATAAGTTGATTACTACCTCTTTCTGAATACATAAATTAAGTCTGAGTTTCTTTATTGCTGCTGCTTCGGCAAACCGGAGACACGCTGCGTTTTTTGTCTCCTAATGTTATTGAAGTTTTGTGGAATTTCAATGGTATATCCTGTATCAGTTAAATGCTGAGCTATTGCACTGTATAGAGCCATTGTGTCTCAGTTTCAAATTCTTTAGAAGTTGTACTCTTTTTTCCGTTCTTCCAATGTGCTTTGGCATGTACATGTAAATTGGCAAATTCAGTTGCTTAATTGCTAAGTTTTAATTGCCATTATGGTCAAATTCAATGTCTACTTCATGTAAAAGTGCGCTTTTTAGTTATCCCAGAGGTTTTGTATCAGTTTATTCCGATGACCTTGTATGTTATTGGCTGTTGTAATGTACAATACGAATTGCACCAGCTGCGAAAACTATCATATTACACAAGGTGGGCGCCCCCTGTGCTTATGCTTATGCATAAACAGATTATCATTGAGGCGACACTAAAGAATATCATCAATATCAATGTGTGCAGACAACCGTGGACGCGGATTCGATTGGAGAAGTTCCAACATTTTAGATCGAAGAAACCCCAAGATGCTAGAAAATTTTTAGAAGCATGGTATTCAAATTAATTAATGATTAACACAGGTATATCAACGTAAACTCAGTCTATGAAGCAGTATGTATGAGGTCATCTAGTCAAGATATCCAACATGGATGCAAAGGTAAACGAAAACAACGAAGCCTACAAAATCAGCTGATCGTAAACAGGGTCATCAGAATAAACTGGAATAATTAAAACACTCGCTTCTACATGGAGTAAACATTAGAGATGTCCAGAATAACAATGAAAACTCAGAAATCAAGCTATCTAGCTCCTCAGAGAAAGCAACTTTATTTATGTATATATATTACTCGGTAAAGCGACTGTGAGTTTAATTTACCTTGTTCGTTAAGGTATTTCTTCCTGATAGCTCAAAAATAATGTGTTCTAGAGTTAAATAGATACTATTTAACTTGCCTTTTCGTTTTCCAAAATAAATTCCTCTTATTTAATCTTAAATCCGTTTAATATTTGTGATTTGTATTCTCTTTTTTTCCAAGACATTCCCAATGCAAAAAACTCCAGATCGCAACTGGACCCTGATATTTTTGAAAACCCAATCACCTAGATATATAAATGCTGAAAATAAATATTTAACTGAGACTTCTGATGCGGATGAATATGATTTGAAATTTAAAATGGTATGGTACAGTACATCGAATAGAGTCCATGTTTTCAGTCCTAAATTGGTCTGCGCTCTTAGAGATGTTAAACTTGGTGAACGTTTACTAGTCACTGGATTTCTTTCTTATTATCAATCACCTAAACCTGATGGAACGACTCAAAGAAACTGCTGCGTCACGGCTCAGCGCATCGCTCATATGGGTTGGTCTAGTGATTATCAACCTAGTGAGAACCTGGCGGAAGTTTTTGAAACATAAATTCTAGAAGATTTATCACTATGTGTCTCACAACATATATATTTTATCTTCCCATTAATGCCATCACATCCATCCAGTGAGTGCCAATATATTATTTGATAGCCTCTTGTTTTTGAATAGTTGATTTGTTGTATGCATCCTTTAAGTTCCACTCATTCATGAAGCAGTAATTATACTATGTTTTGAACACCTGAATTGGATTGCTGTTAACTCAATAGTTAACAAATAATAATTTCCTACTTAAAAATAAGTATAAATAGTATCTCAATTATGAATGTATATTCTAATCTTGATTTAAATTTAATCAGTCAAGTATTGTGCAATCACTATGTGACTAGGCATAAATGTCTCTTGAACCAAGATGCCACACCAGCACAGCAAAAATAAATAAGCGTGATTAGTGTTAGCGAAGTTTGAATTATTATGATATCAATGATAGTGAAAATAATTAAACATAAACAATATGATATTTGAAAAAGAAGTGATGAACTTGTGAAATAATACTGGAACTCGGAATCCAGGAGAAAATTATGAGTAGGTGGATTTAAATGAATGAGACCGATCCGGAGGTATCTTACCTAAATTCTCCGACAGTCGGCCACAAATATCATAAAAATACCTAACATCTCAAGCCTGTAGTCAGTAACTTAATGGGTTGATGCCACACTTACGACCCCAGTCAACATTGTTTCAAAGTTGGCAGTTCAATGTTCATAACATAAGTCCTAGTTACTTTAACCGATGTAAATTCGTAGCCTATTCAACCGATCTACCACCACTACCTAGTACTCTACGTCTAACCTCAATATTGCGTACTCAGTTGTTTCAATGTATCCCAGCCACTTCTAAAACAAATGATCAAATACTAGTAACTTGTGAATAGTTTTGACTTTGGAAAGTCATATTTTACGAAGTAAAAGAAAGTGAACTTCCTAGTAGTGTACTCGTTTTTAGATAGGAGCGTGAATATCTTGTTTGTACTAAAGATGGCGCAAGTTCTTACAAATCAAGTAAGGTTTGTAAAATCGTGCTGAAGTTCCGTCAGGCATCATCTTATTACAGCTAAATGGTCAGCTGTCAATTACTTCAATTGCTTTGCTTACTCATTGACAAAGTATAGGTTAGTGTATTCAACTTTGAGTCACAATTGTTTTGCAAAAGCTGCTTTTTATACCAGGGTATACAGACAGAACTAAAAAAGATGGGGTTCGGACCTGAAACATATTACTTGAAAGCTAAGCGTTTTAACCACTAAGCCACCTCTCAAAATTTCATTTCTCCCAGTCAAGATTGACACATACTTGTCATAAAACAAAATCCATCACCGATATGGAGAGATGTCCACCTCAAGTATTCTAGCGTCTATCTAAAGTGTCCATAAAACTATTTTATTAGCGTCTTCATTAAATAGAACTGTCATCTGGGTCCGTAAAAATACTGAGTTAGTAGTTATCGTATATTATTAGACCCTTTTGCAGTATGTTGTGGGAACAAGTATAAGTAAATATAGTGCTAAATTGATACATTACTGTGTGATATTTATTCTTAAAATTATTTACAATATCATGTGGTTCGATATAATTAACTAGAAGTCATGTGTTTTTGAAATTTCAATGCAGGCAATCAAAAACTAAACGGTTAATAGAATATTCAACGAAGTAAATACATTCACAGTTCATAAGATGGGATTGTGTCCTTAATCGATTGTCTATTCAAAAAATAACATTTAATATATACCTATTTCGTTCTATATCTTGGATATGCAAATATTTTATTGAAATAAACAACGAAACTGATTTTTTCCTGTATGTCACTCGATTAATGATAGATTGTCTTTTGAAACTTCGTAGTAATTGTTAGTGCCGTAATTAGCTGTATTTTTATCACTAATACTTACACTTTAACTGAAAGGTCGAGTATTTCAAATTCGTCTGGAGCGAGTTTTACAAAATGCTGTTTGAAAATATAAATCTATGCTAGATCCAGAGATATGCTACTGGTTTACCGCAAAATGTAATCAACTTCATGGTACATTGTTAACTGATGAGTAAATTCACCTGAAGCTTACAGAATAAACTTGAGGTACTTGTGAGTTCATCATGTATTTCGAAATGACGGAAATGTCAATAAACAAATAACTACAGTACAGTGCTGGGACACTGCCTGGGTGTCCAAACCGAAGCACGTGGTTTTCTTAGGGAATACACCCGGAGGTTTCAACCTAAAGGCCTGATCTAAAAGGTAATCGAGTAACGTTATTTATTTATTTGAACACATAAATATTGGTACAAGACGGCACCAAATATATATGCACCACACAAAACAATGAAAATTAGAACAAAAAAAAAGAAGGTAAGGAGCGTAAAAACAAAAGAACTATGACGAACAGACTAGTGTAAGGTAGCATAATAATAGTAAAAATATGGGAAAAGGAAAGGTACAATGAAAAAAAATCTTTCAGTTAAGGAAGAAACAACCATTTTTTATGAAAATAGTAACAGAAGGTTACAGCAGAATCGACACTGGCTTCTATTCTCAGCCATATTTGATAACGTCTCTAGCCACTGTGTTGAACCATCTCTATTACTCAAGCCAAAGAGTCGTGAAGGACCGACAGAAGCCAGTCTTTTGCAGCTTTTTTCATACTACGACACCATTTCATACACTGACCATCTCTCCGCTTCTTCCAACCAGTCCCAGAGTCGGCAAATAATGCACGATGTGGAATTCTCTGGAACGACATTCGGAGAACATGTCCAAGCCACCGAAGTCGATGTTTCAAGATGGTGACACCAATTGCATTATCGTTTCTGTTCCCGAACCTCTGCATTACTGACATGGTGTTGCCACTGAATGTCAGCAATCCTTCGGAGACAGCGATGATCGAACACAGAGAGTCGTCTAACGTCCTTAACTCGGAGAGACCAGGTTTCACAAGCATAGAGCGAAACTGCTCTCACCGACGTGTTGTAGATCCGACCTTTTACAACCAGACTAACATCACTAAGGCGCCAGAGATGACCCAGATTGGCATAAGCCGCCCTGGCTTTCACTATTCGTGAATTAGTATCATCACTCACACCCCCACCAGCACTTATGCAGCTACCTAGATACACGAACTTCTCAACTACTTCTATCAGCTCACCATCCAGGGTGAGTATAGGATTAGAATCCTGCCAGTCTTGTAGAAGTACTTTGCACTTCGAAGGTGCAAAGCACATACCGTACCTACGGACACTGATTAAGTGCGGATTACATGGCTTGGGCATTATCTCACAGTAAGACAATATCGTCCGCATACTCAAGGTCGAGAAGTCTTTCTCCAGGCAACAGATCCACACCGCCATTACTTACATCCATCAGCGTTGTTTCCAGGATGTCATCGATGGCAAAGTTGAAGAGGACTGGCGAGATTGGGCAACCGTGTCTAACCCCACTGCTCGAATGGAACAATGGAGAGAGGTGGTTGTATGCCCTCACTCTGCCTGAAGTGTTTGTATATAGGGCTTTTAGGATGTTAATAAACTTCTCAGGCACACCCTTCTTCAATAGACAATCCCAGAGAACAGTCCTGTCCAACGAATCGAAGGCAGCCCTGATGTCAAGAAACACTACGATTGTTGGCCTTTGATAAGTATGGCGGTGTTCAAACATTTGGCGGAGGTTGAAGATATGATCAATACATCCTCGACCAGAACGAAAACCAGCCTGCTCCTCGCGAGTCAATCTTTCTCGGGTTTTGAACAACCTACGAAGTATGACGGAAGCCAATAGCTTGGACGCAATTGGAAGTAGACTTATCCTCCGATAGTTGTTACAGGAACGACGTGAACCCTTTTTAAAGATAGGGACAACTATCGACTCATTCTATGACGTTGGTGGATCAGTCGTCACCGGCCATGGAGGGCAAGACAGTCTGACCGATGTTGCCGAAGCAGCAGGCCAGTTGAACTGCCCTTCGAAGAATTCTGCCTATCGTCCAAGACGTCGATGGATGTTAGTGATTGGCATCTCGTCATGAATTTCATTTATGTAGTTTTGAGTTCCATTTACACAGTTTAAAAACCAGCCAGCTGCTCAGAAAAGCAAGAATATATCAGTATTACAATACGAAACCTGAAATCTGAAAATGTAACACCGTTAAACAAACGAACACTCATTTCACCTATAATCTACGTTACCCACAAATACCGTGGTATGGCAGAGAGTGGTGGTGGCCCTCCCTCTCTAAATGCTCTCACATGGCCATGCGTATACAGCCTCTGCCGGGGAAGTCCTACTCGCTGCATTCTCGTGGCGGGGGTGTTGTTTACGAAAATAGGAGGACGAAAAGCGAATGTCCAGCAAATAAATCGAGTTGATAGATACGGGGGTCCACCTAGGGGATTTGGAAAACCCTGATTTCAAACCAATGGTGGACATGGGCTACAGGATCGGCCAAATGAAATGTTCGTTTGTTTAACGGTGTTACATTTTCAGCTTATAGGTTTCGTATTGTAATACTGATATATTCTTGTCGTTCTGAGCAGCTGTGTACTATATAAAATGTATAAATGGAACTCAAAATTACATAAATGAACCCTTATTTGTTAGTGTCGGATTAGCCTCTGGTTGAAGAACCTTCGATCTTGGTAGTATATGGAAATATGCGTAATAGTAACTGGGGTGACTTGGTACATTTTATCAAAACCCTTCATAATAGCGTTTGAATTCAAATCTAATCTGTTGCCTCATCAGCTTGAAAAATAACTACTCATTTCTCGACATTAGGGACAGGAATGTTATTGTCTAAATATAGTAATAAATTCACTCGCCAGATTTTAACTTACAAGAATGAATTCTCATGATGCTTCCAAGACTTCGAAACGTATAGATTGGTTTAACTTCCTAACCGCACTCATTTCTTGATATTAAGGAAATTTATCATGGTATTTAGATACAGTCAATATGCATGGTATTTGATGGAACGCTTCAAAGTTGGCATTGATTGGATCTTACTCATCGTTCACGGAGATCAATTTTCAGTGAAATCATGAATCTATCTAGTTTAGACTGTTAAACCTGTAGGGACTGGATGGTTGCTTTGTCCTAGTAAGGAACTCATCTGCGACTCAACAAGCAGGAATCGAGCGTACGACTTTCAGTTTTTCACGCAAACGCTCGACCTCCAAAGCACTCAGTCATCATCCAACGGTGTTAAGTGCCTCTAGGTTCTCAATGAGATCCAGCAATCTCCACAACTTTTCACTGATATTCTCCCGTCCAAGAAATATCACAAGTCAATATTCTTTATTTAGATAGACTAACATATAAACAACCGTTTTCATGTATGACGTCTAAGTCCATATCATGACTTAAACAAATTTAGAATCAGTATAATGACTCCTGGATTATAACTCAAATAAGCGATGAGACTACTAGCTAACATAATTCCTTATAGAAGTTGGTTATTTCTCGGAACCTAGCTAGGGGAACGATTATTAGCGTAACCACCGTAACTCCAAAATGAAATAGCATTTCTTAATACTTTGTCAGTCTCCAGTCATAAAGGTTTGTGGTGCACTTAGCATAAATTGCACAGCACAAAACAGTCAAATTCCATTGGTCTCTGTATTGTGGTTTCCCACGATTATAAGATGCAACCTATTAAGCCTATGGAGAAATAATATTTTTGAATTCGTCCACATCACTATAAACGAGCTATTTGGGATAAATAGTATTAGATAAGTATTGCTTCGGTATGAACCCTGCACTAGCATGATCAACTTCTGACAACTGACGTAAAATAGTTAATGTCTATGACAAGATACTGGGGTGGATGTATATGATAATTTTCTTATCAAAATACCATTCACTTTCGACCTAATGGACTCAAAAATTATGGTTATAACCCAAAGAACGGATCGCTAAGAGGTATTAGATCATCGTTTCATTAGTAAGCTGGACGAACTGATTACCATTTTCACAAACGTAAATCCATATCGTATCTTCACAAATTTGACGAAAGTAATAAAACGATCGCTTTATTAAGAATTCGAATTCTTAGTGTAGGTATTTACCTAACTTTATTGTCCCCAGATTATTTTGTAATCCCATCATTTGACAATTTGATCGATAAATAATGACACCAGTCGAACTACCTTATGTTGAAATAAAATAATTACTTAGTCATCAATAGAAAGATCACAGTCAATTCAATACTTGCGATATAATAAAACTCATCAAAAGTGAGTAAACCAAGCTGAATAATTATTAGAGGTAGTTGAATACCTAGGATCTGATTTCTAGTTTATTTCACTGAATAGAATAAAGTTATTACTTTTAGTAAATAATGTTTTCCCAAGGTTAACATTGAATACAGTCTATTATGCAATGGATAATTAAGCAAGACTAGGGAAGAAAATTATCCGGCACTCAAATAATTCATATTCACTGGTGGATGACCTTAATTTCCGACCAACATAAAACCTCTATAACCATCTAAAGGCTAGTTTTACTGAATATGAGACCTTAATCCTTTCTCGGTCCACATGTATATTATTAACTTTCCACAGAATGTTCAGTTTATTTGACAGTTCATCATCTGTGTGTGGGTCGTGATACTGCCCGGGTGCCCAGACCGAAGCAGGTGGTTTTCTTAGGGGGCCACACCCCGAGCCTTTGACCTAAAAGTCTAACCCACAAGGCAGTAGAGTATCGTAAGGAGATGCAGTCCCATGGTAGCCGGTGACCGAAAATTGGTTCATACGCCATTTGTTCCCGCAGGATACTGCAGCCCATGTGCACCATTGATTTGTGACCCGGTTAAAGCGCCGGACATTCGCTTTTCGTCCTCTCATTTTCATAAACAACATCCCCTCCACAAGAAGGCAGTGAGTAGGAATTCCCTGGCAGAGGCTGTGTACGCGTGGCCGTGTGAGAGTATTTCAAGAGGGCGAACCCACCCCGCTCTCGGCCATACCAGGGCATTCGTGGAACAACTCTCTATATTTATGGAAACTACTTTTCTTGCTTCGACTAACAGTCAAATGATTCAAATTATTATTATTGTTATTATTATTATTATTATTATTATTTACTACATCATTATTCATCCTCTTTTATTCCTACTCTGTCTATACTTGTTTTTTCGACTTATACAGCAGCTTGTCTATGGTGGAAATTCGACTCTACCTAAACGTTCTCGAGTCACTGTCCGGTTGAAAATTGTATGTTACCACCGAATATGAGTAGTGAAGCAGATTTTCTGAAACCACGTGCACTATTCAAACTGGCTGCCTTTAACGTTCGCACAGTTATGCAGGTTGGACAACAGATAGGGCTGGCTATGTCTTTAGAGTCTCAATATCGATGTTTTCTGTCTATCCGAGACCCGTATTCAAGACTCTAGTGAAGTACTACAAATTCGCTCTCCATATGTCGCTTCGAAAAGCTTGCTTTATGTGCGTTTATCCGGGGATCCGGTGGCACCTTCGTCTGGTCTTGCTGGCGTTGGTGTCCCACTAAGCGCTAGAGCTGAGGCAGCACTAATCGATTGGATCCCCATTGACAGTCCGTTATGTACTGTTAGATTAGAAAGTTCCATCAAAGTGAGAAGAAATCGGCGTGAGAAACGATGTCTTTTCGTCATCTTTGCCTATGCCCCGACAGATTACAGCCCAGATGCAATCAAGGATGAATTCTACCGCCAGTTAACTGTTGTTCTCCAGAAAGTGCGTTCGACGGATATTGTATTAGTAGCCGGAGACTTGAATGTTCAGGTCGGGCGTCTAGGCACAGAAGAGAGTCGTTTAGGTGGCCGATGGAGACTTGTTGGTCGCAGGACAGATAACGGGGACCGTCTACTCCAACGGTGCACAGACCACAACCTGTTTCTGGTTAGCACTAACTTTCGGCACAGTCACCGCCGATATGCCACCTGGCGTCCTCCGTCTGCATCTCAAGCCTGTGCTCAGATTGATCACATCGCGATCAGCTACCGCTAGCGTGGTTGTGTACAAGACTGCCGCTCCTTTTGGAGTACCTATCTGGACTCTGACCATGCCTTGGTCTGCGCCAAACTTACCATACTTTTCACTGGCCAATGAAGTGACTGCCACCAAAGGATTGATGTCAGCAACTAAATATTGAACCGAGCTAGCTTCTAGGCTAGCTACTATTCCACCGAAAAGTTTAGATAAGCATTCGTTTCAACTTCATGACGCCATGAAAATGGCAAGTAAAGCCGCTTGCGGCTTCGCGAAAAGTCCCGCTTATAAGGACTGGGTTTCTGCAGGCTCCTTACAACTCATCGAAGCCCGTCGGTCTACTCCGTGTGACCGTGGGTTTGACCATAAACGAAGGATGTTACGTAATGAAATCGGCCGGAGCTTGCGCAAGAACAGAGAAGCCTCGTGGTCGGAGAGTGCTAATGAACTGTAAGCAGCAGCTGCATCTGGTAACCACCGGAAGCGCTTCCAACACACCCAAGCCATTGGCAGCAAGAAGTCTGGTGTGAGCGAAACAGTCTATGAGGATGACGGAATGCCAATCACTAACACCCATCGACGTCTTGGACGATAGGCAGAATTCTTCGAAGGGCAGTTCAACTGGCCTGCTGCTTCGGCAACATCGGTCAGACTGTCTTGCCCTCCATGGCCGGTGACGACTGATCCACCAACGTCATAGAATGAGTCGATAGTTGTCCCTATCTTTAAAAAGGGTTCACGTCGTTCCTGTAACAACTATCGGAGGATAAGTCTACTTCCAATTGCGTCCAAGCTATTGGCTTCCGTCATACTTCGTAGGTTGTTCAAAACCCGAGAAAGATTGACTCGCGAGGAGCAGGCTGGTTTTCGTTCTGGTCGAGGATGTATTGATCATATCTTCAACCTCCGCCAAATGTTTGAACACCGCCATACTTATCAAAGGCCAACAATCGTAGTGTTTCTTGACATCAGGGCTGCCTTCGATTCGTTGGACAGGACTGTTCTCTGGGATTGTCTATTGAAGAAGGGTGTGCCTGAGAAGTTTATTAACATCCTAAAAGCCCTATATACAAACACTTCAGGCAGAGTGAGGGCATACAACCACCTCTCTCCATTGTTCCATTCGAGCAGTGGGGTTAGACACGGTTGCCCAATCTCGCCAGTCCTCTTCAACTTTGCCATCGATGACATCCTGGAAACAACGCTGATGGATGTAAGTAATGGCGGTGTGGATCTGTTGCCTGGAGAAAGACTTCTCGACCTTGAGTATGCGGACGATATTGTCTTACTGTGAGATAATGCCCAAGCCATGTAATCCGCACTTAATCAGTGTCCGTAGGTACGGTATGTGCTTTGCACCTTCGAAGTGCAAAGTACTTCTACAAGACTGGCAGGATTCTAATCCTATACTCACCCTGGATGGTGAGCTGATAGAAGTAGTTGAGAAGTTCGTGTATCTAGGTAGCTGCATAAGTGCTGGTGGGGGTGTGAGTGATGATACTAATTCACGAATAGTGAAAGCCAGGGCGGCTTATGCCAATCTGGGTCATCTCTGGCGCCTTAGTGATGTTAGTCTGGTTGTAAAAGGTCGGATCTACAACACGTCGGTGAGAGCAGTTTCGCTCTATGCTTGTGAAACCTGGTCTCTCCGAGTTAAGGACGTTAGACGACTCTCTGTGTTCGATCATCGCTGTCTCCGAAGGATTGCTGACATTCAGTGGCAACACCATGTCAGTAATGCAGAGGTTCGGGAACAGAAACGATAATGCAATTGGTGTCACCATCTTGAAACATCGACTTCGGTGGCTTGGACATGTTCTCCGAATGTCGTTCCAGAGAATTCCACATCGTGCATTATTTGCCGACTCAGGGACTGGTTGGAAGAAGCGGAGAGATGGTCAGTGTATGACATGGTGTCGTGGAATGAAATAATATGAAATAACAACAATAATGAATCACTCAAGATATATACACCCACGACCTAGGATCATGAAAATAAATCCTATAACGAAGCTGATTTTCTCTCATAACTGATTCTTCAAGCCTATAATGTAACAGCCATATAGTACACGATTAGTAATTAAATAACAAAATTTAAATCACAAAATATAAAGTCACCGATTGTAAAATAAATGGAGTAGCAAATAAAATCGTACATATAACAAACAGCCGATTTTGATAAATATAATTGTTAATTAGGAGAATAGAAATGATTATTTAACGATGACCGGGGCTGTGTAGAATACACATATAAGAGGCTACAACATGATACAATTGTTATACACATGAGTAATGGACAATATGTAAAACATGATCCACAATCGGTTGGTTGTGCATTAATTTCAGTGTAGAAATAAACATTTACATGCGTGTAATTCACAGCGTATTCCTGTATAAGATGGATAATCATATTCAGATAATGGTAATGGAATTTATAACATTACCTTTACTGTAAATGAAAATTATGATGACTGCAACGCACGTGAGTGTATATAATTCACATGTTTCTTTATAACACAAATAAGATGTTAACAATATGCATGTTTATCGATGATACAATTTTGAAATTACTAATTACACAATGATCAGTCCAATGTAAAAATAAATCAATATGATCCTGGTGATCAGTTCCGTTTTCGAGGGATCAGCAATTAGCTTATCGAAATTGACAACCCATCAAAATTAGCAATATGATAATAAAAAACATGACAATTAGAAGTAAGGATTGTTCTGAGATGTGACGATTTTTATGATTCCCATGATAAATATTTAACTAGATTTGTAAAGTAGGTACTTCGACTGAACTGACTGGCATGATCATGAAAACTACTGCACGCGACAACAGAACTAGAGCGACCAGATAAAGAACTGTTCAAATAGAAATAAGAGATGGAGTTGCCAATGTTGTTATTGCAATTAGAGGGAAATAACCCAATAAAATATGAGAATAAAGGATTAATTGTTGCTGCCAATCTGTCTAAATGGTGCAAAGCTTTCGGTAGAAAAACTACACTCTAAACAGCTTGAACCATTCAGTTCAAACAAAATACTTTTGACAGATGCGGAACTCAACTGAATTCTTTCCCAATTATGTGGTCCATTAGCATTTCACCGAGAAAAGTTATGATGTCTTAACATCCTAACGCAACAGAAAATTCCAGTGGAAGAAATCTATTTTATACGAGTAGGGTATATCTTGCAATTGCCAATAAGTTTATGAAGAAACGAGTAGAATGTAGAATAGAAGATAAAGAATCATACGGTCAGTAAGGTAATATAAAATCATCACGAGGTATACAAAACAACACATTTCGAATAAAAGGCAGTCAGTTGCTAAGGGTAGACGTGTCTGTTTGAGCGTTCACATAACGAAGATGGCTTTTTTGTCTTCATAGGTATATCCAACTGATTAATAAAAATACATGGAAAAGGTAAATCTCTACTTAGTAGCCCATATCTAACATTTTATTCTACGAATTCACACTTTTCGAGCCACATTCTCTATTCCCAATGACTTCTTACTATCACTTTATTTAAAGGCACCCTATCCATATGCACCGCACTTCATCATCCGATTTGTGTGAGGGTTGGAATACTTCCCGGGTGACCAAATCGAAGCAGGTGGTTTTCTTAGGGGGGGGCGAGCCCGGGGCCTTCAACCTAAAGGTCTGATCCATAAGGTAGTGGAGCGGCGTCTGAAGATGCAGTCCCATGATAGCCGATGACCAATAATTGGTTCATACACCATTTGTTCCCTCAGGATCCTGGAGCCCATGTGCACCATTGGTTTGAGATCAGGGTTTTCTAACTCCCCTAGGTGGACCCTCCGTATCTATGAACTCGGTTTATTTGCTGGACATTTGCTTTTCGTCCTCCCAAATTCGTAAACAACACCCTCGTCGCAAGAAGGCAGTGAGGAGGATTTCCTTGGCAATGGTTGTATGCACGTAGCCATGTGAGAGCATTTCGAGAGGGAGAGCTGACTCACGTCACCCTCGGTCGTATCAGGGCATTTGGAGGATCTTACTATCACTTGATATTCATCTCGCTGTGCTGATGTGGTGTAACAACTTAGACTAATGCATATATGTGCTAAGTTCCACATTGTTTATAGCTAAAGGGCTGGTAGAAAACCACAACAAGATCACTACGTGTCAGGCCACTGAGCTACATATTTTTTACGAACAAACCAGGAGAGTTATGGATAATTAATAAACCCTATTGGGGTACACCTTATTCCACATATTCATTCCCTAAACCAAAAACCTCACCACCTTTCGCACTCATTCCCAGAGTTGGTAGAGCTAAAGTATCTGTAGGTCATATCACCAAGTTACAAAGATAAATGCTTCGAAATGATAACATTTACTGACTCGTCCCTATATATACAAACATTCTCTTAGCTTCAATATCACTTAAAGTGATGCAACTTCGTTTTATTCGCAAGTGGCTGTTCATGATTCCATAGAAAAGTGGATGAAACAGTTTTCTTATTCGTTTAACATGGCTAGTATAAATTAAGAAATCGCTAATATGATTAATTTAAAGATGTGAACTGCAATGAATGATTAGTGGCAGAGTAAGCATCCATCACAATATATACTGAGTACTAATATGTGCAGTAATGATAATCTGTTATTTGTTGCGAAAAAAATATAACAATGTATGTAGGTAATTTCCCTATCACTCAATATCTACCATAATAAAAAGCTTCAGAAGAAAGACCAACCTTAGTGCTGATCAGTGATCTGAACTGTTATAATGACATGCAAGTTATGAAAAGATGAATACCAAATAACCAAGATTATCTACTCACTCGACCAAAGGAAGTACAAAGCATTGTTTCCTATGGCAGCTTCAGCTGTCCCTGCAGTTACACTAATAGCTATGATAATAGCAACGATAGCAAGTACACCATAACCTATCCAGTGTGCACGAGCATAGGCTGGGCCAACAGATGTAACTTTATGACAATGTGGACATCTTGCTGTTATAAGTCCTGCGGCATTGGAAGCGTTCCTGCCAGATAGAAGTGCGGTAAACGCATTCATACGTCCAAACGAATGAGATTCGGGTGATGGTATGGAAAATGGTGAATTACAATTACCGCAGGACAGGCGCAGACTTTGAGGAGTACCAAACGTTCCATGTGTAGCTGGACCCTGCAAAAACCTATTGCTACCACCCATAAAGCCCACACCATCTTCCTATTATAAAACCAAAAACAAGGTGGAAAATAAATGTATAATCATACGGATAATCGACACGAACAAAAGTAAAGAATGGCTACATATACTAGAAATTATGATGCCTGTGTGAAACAAAACTAGTTAGTGTAAGCGCAGCAACCTGTAACAGCTTAATAGGATTCGTTTGCTTATACACATATATAAAATAAGCGGTGTTTAAGTAAGTAAAGTACTTGGGTTTTAAATGAGTCACAGTATGGAGTATCGTCCTATCTATTTCAGCCCGAGTTATTAGACAGTAGTCTCCACAGAAATGTGCTTCGAAGCCGAGTGCACAAACTTTTACATGTATACATCCAGTCCGTTACTTACAAACTAACATCAATACATTTTATCTCCAAACGAAAAACTAAGATAATATGCATTAACACACATATCTAGTAGTTGTGGTTAACACTAATTCTAAAAATGATTCATAGTTAATCAACATGCAAGTAAAGTGTTTGTCACTACTGACTGTTTGAATAACAATTGTGTCTAATATAACTATACAACTATAACCATGTGTACATACAAGTACATATTTAAACTGAAAAGTATAATTAAATTGATCTGGTCTTGACCAATTACTATATTTCAATTACCCTATCTATAATATATTATATTTTTACATCCTTATGAAACAAAATATGATAAATTAAACTTTTCGCATGAGGTAAGAGGTGAGAAAATACTATTCTGAATTTACAATGTGGTAAAAATTCACAATAACTGGATCAAAGCAGTGTATATTTTAACTATTTCATTCAATACAAAAATATAAACTTATAGCTAACTAAAAATAACCATTTAACCTTATCACTGACTATTCTGTGATTCTAGTCTATTTTAAAAAAAGGATGAGAAAACGATGGTCAATATTTATAGATTTTCAGGTCATCTGTCGTTAGTTGTATTTTATATTTTGAACGACAGAAGCCCTATAAGTATAACGTGAATTCTGAACAGTATTTCCTATCCTCGATGGTATACATTGGGCATAGTACAACTACCAACCTACGTGAAACACGAATAATTTTTTGCAGGTTTACGCAGATTACATGTCATTCCTGACAACAATAATTGTCAGTCTTAATATGCTACCTGACATAATTAATTTTGAAACCAAAAAAACTAAAGTGTAATTAGCTGAAGATAAACTGGACGTGCATACACATTGATTTCGATCATGCTTAAGCATGCCGCTGTCATAACTAACGAATTAATCATTATAAATGAAGTGAAATAGGCTGAATAACTGAACCAAACTTTACAAACAAGTAGTAAATACAGCTGCATTTAATGTTAAGAATCAGAAACGTAAAAATGTGGCGTGAAATACAACACAACAATTTATTGAACTCAGCTGCCACACCGTGTATAGTTCTGGAATGGGGTTCATAAGGTGAAGAGAGAGTTTAAGCAAAGCACGACTTTTAAAAGGTCAACTTCCCACCAAACAGAGCTACGTTACCTGTACACTTGAAGTTGAAAAACGATTCTCCAAGCGGGAGATCAATGATTGAGTCAGCGGTTGAGAGAATAACTTGTAAGTATATCTACGACTAGATGAAAATTTGGGAATTAGGCAGCTATTATGGATACTAGTGTGATTATTTAAGTTGACAGTTATTCCGAAGTTTCGATTCGGCCATTTTCAAGAATGCAGTCTTTCCCGACAAACAATGTCATTGTCAACACAGTTGGGTGTCAGTAATTATGCCTTAGTTTCGAAACCTGATGACAGTTGATCTTTGATTGAAACCCAATACTTTTATGACTTTTATTTTTTAATTCTGAACAACGGTCGGATGATTACAAAGGTCAAAATCTGGGAATCACATTACTCAAACTGATTCCCCTGTAGTGATCACAGCAGTTAGGACAACCGATGGTCAATATTAATCAATTGGAAATATGTTTAGCCCCTAAACTTCGAAGAAAAGCCCAGTCGATCTATATAGAAAAACTTGCAATACTTCTAACCAACATTTCTATTCACTGTGTAGATCGCCTTTTTCGGTTTGAGAACAAACGTCAATGATGGGGAGACATAATGATGATTAGCTTAGTGAACTCAGAGAAAGCCATATGAAGACGACATCCAATACATGGTTACCCAGAACCTACTGAACTGACATGTTATGTTGACATGCGACGATATATCACAACAGAAGACAGCGAAAACTAAAAGATTGTTCTTTAAAAGTACTTTAGTGAAATAAAAAGGGACAAAAACAATGTTAACTAGTATGCAGTAACGATACATGAAAAAATAAACGAAAACCTAGATTATGGTTACTTGGGATCGACCATACACCAAGTAGTTAGAATGAGTAATAAAAATATGAATGGCTTTCTCCCTGCCTTGACATGATGGTACTGTGTTTACCGCTGTTTTCACAGGAGACTATATATAATAACGAGCTAAAACATGATCAAAATTGCCTCTTTACGTTAGCTATTGTTTAAAAAGTTTTTTACTTGGTTTATTTGACACTTTCAACGTAGGTTAGAAAGGTTTCCACAATTCTTATTGCAAGTAAATAGCTGGTCAACTCATTATTGGATTCTATAGAAAAGCTTTATGTAGAATCTACTCACATGCTGGTTTAAGATGAGATGTTAGCCATCAAGTAGTCATCTGCCTAGTTAGCCGCCATTTTTACTCACGTTTGGTGATAGTGCTGGTCAAGATTATGCGCCTGTATGAAACTAGGACAAACATTTTGATGTTTCCATTGATTTAACACGGATATTTGATCTCTCAACACACAAGCCTTGTGATATAACATAATAAATAAACAACCACTAGGTAATTAAGTCTTAACAAAAGCTAGAATCATTGTAAAGAAGACCAAAATTATAGATTGCGTCCTTAAAAAATAAACTGTAACACTAAGTTCCTGTGTGACTAGTGTTTCGCAAATTAATTTTAGTCAAGAAATTAATCGCTAGCCTGCCGCTACCAGACGCTACATTTGAACAAGCATGACACATATACGCACCACATAAAATCACCCTCTTAAGTCTCTGTAACCAGGTGCAGTTCGGACAAAAGGTAGGCTTTATTACGGCTCTGGACAGTTATGCAGGTGACATCTACAACACCTTATAGATCTCCACCACAGATTTCAAGTCCACCTTCCACCTATTCATTGAAAAAGCATGCTTAACTTGTGCCCACCCGCCTTGAGGTTTGAGAATAACTAAATACCAAAGTCGGAGTATCGATAAACAAGTAAATATTAGCTAGGTACTTTACATGTTGCTACATTAGGTGGCCCAATCAGAGCGAGAAAACGGCTGATATTAGAGATTATCATGATAACTTTTTACGCCCCAACGGGTTATTTCTTTCAATAGTAATTGACAAACTATCCCAACAATAGTTGTTTGACAAGTATTGTGGCGCTAGCTGGTGACCATGATGGATATTTGGGATGTTTCGACCCACAAAATAGCCATGTGAATGATCAATAGAAACATATTAGTTATGGGTCAGTGATAATGTTTTAACGACGTTAGGAAGGTACAGTCACTTTTAATCTGCTAGATGCTGAACTTAAAACAATCTTATAATGTCTCTTTATATAACAAACTTATTTCTTGTCAAATTAGATCGTCCACATTATTATTTTCTACTCTTATTGATACTGTTACTAACTCTACTGCTCTGGGAAGTTTTAATATTTTTAATTCAGTTTAATAACGTGTTGTGGTAACATGGGCCAATCATCCAATGTTTTAAGCCCTACGTTGAGAATGACTAAGCTCGACCCTAAGACTTGAAAAACTGACATTCTAACTAACCATATAATAAGTGAGTTTGTTCCACTTGAAGCGACTGTCAGGTTTTGCAAAGCATCATGCAGCTCCTTACAACATTTCGACAACTATCAGCATAAAATACAATACCACGAAGATAATTGTGTGAGAAAATAGTAAAAACATTAACAGGAATGAAAAACTGATTTTCAAAAGGGAGAAATAAGGACAAAAATTGGAAAGTAACATCAATTTTTTGAGCACTATATTCCCTACGCATAGTTTTTATCTTCACCTGTACTATTAATATTTCAAATACTTCGCTGAATTCTAGTTGTTTTGATAGTGTGGCAACTTATGCTATTACTACGTTGTTGATAACTACATCAAGGACCCTACTTTCAGAAATATAAGGGTGCAGATGAGTCTCGCCATAGCAGTCCGATGGTAAGGATACCGGGTAAACTGACGTTACCTGACGTACACACAATTATCTATTTGAGGATTGATCTGAATCCTACTAAACATTTAGCCGCACATAACTAGTACTGCGGTACAACGTTATCGCTGGTAATCGTTATTATAACAGTGCCAAACCGTTCAACATAAAACACTCCTACTACAATGGAGTTTACACTGACACCAACAATAAGCAAATTTAGCTCTATTAGATGTGCAATTCAAGAAAACTAAGTAGGGAAGAGGTGTAACCTACTTCACGAATAACAATAACTTTCTGACATTCAGGGCGAGGACAACCAACTTTGCTTGTAGATTCATTGCATACAAGTAAGCAATTGCAAGGACATCTAACATACTGTTTCCCAGTTGGTGGACCTTTGATAGGCTAGAAAAGACATTAGATGAGGAAGTAAGTACCGTCGCCTCAGAACAGTGTGAACATCGAACCACCATTTGCTTTTCACGAGGAGTGAACGTAATAACTTGCCTGCATACTTGGCAGTTCACTGTGGCTTGGGAATCTCCATCATTGGTAACTGCCCGCTCAATGACTGGTTTGATGACGGAGCGTCCAACATGGGTATCTATTTGTTAAAAGTTTTGTTTGAATGACAGTTACCGGCAGATACTAGAGGAGTATTTTCATCCATTCTGTAGTAAAGCAATCAGTGTTCTACCGGCAACTAAAGGTGATATTGGGTGCGAAAGTACAGTCAACTGCAAAAAATGGAAGTAAACAAATATAAACTAAATTAAAGTACTAGAAACCACTTACCTTTAGATTTCAAAATGGCTTCGAGCCTAAACTAGTAACCCGCAAAATCGTATAGGAGGCAGTATTTTCAATTTAGGCTGAGTTGAGATGTGTCTGTTCAATATTTGCAATACACATAAATTATTTAAAGTCAAACTAGCAACCAGAAAAAGGAAGTTAGGAATGGAGTTGAATTTTCATGTGCAATTGGTCTTCAAATTATTCAGTCCATTTTGCACAGCTTCTCTAATTGAAAGGATTTTAATATCAACAGGAACGTCTATTTCGAGCCTGTCTGTTTTTTCGTATTTTTATCTAGTTTGTTTGTGATGAGATTATATAGACCAACTGATCCATTTTCTGATATTACGGTGTGGTTCCAGGTCTTTGGTATTGCCCAATATAGGATGTCTAACCACTTGGCTGTGTTTACACTGTGTATAACAGTTAGTTACTGGTCAATGTTTTTAGAACACCGGGGTTGCTAAAACCAGCAACTTTCACATCAACAGGCAGAAAACTGGTTTGTTACAATATGAAGGGTTATAAGAATTAGTAAATGATGAAGTTTATGCAAACAACATGAATCAGCTGGATGGGCTGATGGTAGTTCTAGTGATAATATTGACAGCGGTAGTTATGACAGTAAGAGTAGTAATAATGGGAATAATAGTGATGACAATGGGTAGACACATAGCATACATCTGCCAGAGCTGTTCCAAGCAAAGGACCGTAAGGTGAGAGCGTGTGTCTGTCAAGCCAATTCTTAAGGTTACCTACTGAAGGAAATGTGGTCCAGTAGTTCAGGAGAACATTCCAGGCAGAGCGGACCCTTTGTGAAAAGAGGTTTAATCTTGTCTGATTATCGGCTCTCTGGTGTGCGATTCGTTGTGGATTAACTCGTGCGGTAAAGCGATGAGGCCCATACAGTATGTTTTAATGTGGTTAACCAGGAGTAATTCATGTGTAGGGCGTTAGTTGTGTCCGATGACGTTGAATGTTTACGATGTGACACCTCGAGATACTAGATTTTGACTTATTGTCTACGTCCTATTTCCCTATTATTGTGAAGCCATTTTTGAGTTCAAGAGATTCGTTTTCGCTTCTTATGGACCTCCATTATATGGCATCGTCAGTGTATGAGAGAGTTAATGAGCTAATTTGTCTAGAAGCTCATTTATAATTATCAGAAAGAGGGGTGAACCTCTTAATCCTTTATACAGACAGCATGATTTGGCTGGAGTGATACTCTTTCCTAGCAGTCTGCAGCAGTTGTTACATTGCTCTCTATCAAAGGCTGGCCAACGTTCCAATAAGCCACTCTCCGACTCTGGAATTCTAAACCAAGTCAGGGATTTTCGTAGTATATGGTAGTTACTCTTCGTTTTCTGATTTGAAGAAGCTGGACTGGTGGCTGAAGTTGGTTTGTATAACGATCGTGGACACACAAAATTTGGAGCGCGAGCATAGACGAATAGGTTAACACTAAACCTGTTAAAATGTTGAAGATGCCACAAGTATTCAGTGTTTGACAACGCTTTAACCAATAACATCTAATATAACTCGTACCCACCAAGACAAATCAAAAGACAGAATCGAGGAGATTGGAAGATATGTTAGATGACTATCAGTATATTGAGAATAGTCTGATCTAATCTGGCTAGTGATTGCATTAGATGTTGAGCACGGCGTTCCTACTCGTGATCTGGTGCGGATGCATGACCGAGCGCCGGCACACTATGCGTGTTAGTTTACGGGTTTTCGCGCACATGTAACATATTGTCGTGGATTTTATGTGTCGTTATTTATCAGCTATTAACAGCCTTTTTTCCATCATACGTGACTTCTCGTAATCTTTGTGATTGGAAGATAGTATTTATTCCAATTTATAAGCAGTTTGACGTATTTTGTGCTCACCACCTAAGTAAACATGCAGTTGGCGTAATATGGTTATTTTTTAATAATACAAGGTCAAACAAGTCAAATCCCCATTTTTCTAGTGAAAAATAGAAAACAGATTGACTTTTCATGAAAATAAGCCGTGAAAAGCATTATATATGGTTCACCTCCTTGATTATGGTGACAGCAAACATAGATGTTTGCAGTCGTTTATAAGATGTTATCAGAAAGAAGTAAGCATTAAACTAACTATGGATATTATATAAATTGTTTGTATTTAGCCATAAAAGGTTATTTGCACTAAAGGTAGCATTGTTTGGTATTGAAGTGACATATTATTGTGTAACGTATCAGAGAAAAATTATGTGAGTAAGAATTGATGTTGATAGTCTTTTTTACCGGCTTTCTGAATGTAATCAGGAACAGTGTATAACACCACATTAAATAGGCACAAAATCTCCATAAGTGAAACGATGGCTGTCTCTTCTGAGCATGGTGACAAAACCATGTCGTACTTAATATTGATTCATGATGTGTCTGTTATAGGGTTGACGAATAATTTTCTGTAAACGAAATGCACAGTCTCATACGAAAATGTGAACAAACTTATGATGCATATTGTCGAGTAATATCTAAATGGTACTTACCACTTTTTCTTGCTAATACCTGATGTATGTACGAAATAATACAAGGGTTAGACACTGAATAAATTCCCAGTGCTTGTTACGACACAGACTTGAATAAAAAACAACTTTTCATGAGTTAATTCATGAATTCCTACTGTATTACATACTGACTCGTCCGAAGTAATTCATGCAGACAACGGGACGAAAAGTGAATGAGCAATGGAAGCAGAATCACAAGTTCCTTGTATTCATATCTCGTTTATGCCACATTAATGAATAACATTTTCTTCATAATTCAGACCACGCTTCTTTGTTGTGACGAAACTGATTTCAGTAATTTTTAAATAACATTGATTTGTGTATTGTAAAGATTACCTATTAATTTTTATTAAAGGAAATAGAAATCTCTAATGATTAGCGCTGTCTGCAAATAAGAGACTTATAGGTACATTCTGTAACCTGCTATTTGATGTACTTATTGAATGTGATACTTATAACTAGGTCTAATTCTTTATTTCACAACTGATTTGTTTGTTTTTCAGAATTGTATGAATCCAATAAAGTCAATGGTTTGTGATGTTTACGCCGGTCTACAACTTACAGAATTTGTTAAAAAACGGTTTAGATGTTCACGTTAACTGTGTTCCGTATTGCCTAGTAACATTTTTATTCAACTAATGAATTAGTGAAATATAAATATAGCAACTACACTTATTGTCTTACTTTATAAACCGTGTCCGTCTTTATTAATAGTCGATATGACGCTAGAACAAATATAGATATAGAATAATATGAACTCCTTATAATCCATGGAGTGAACAAGTAATAAGAGGGATTATGTATTAATTCATTTCACTTTTAAAATTTAGTTGCCGATTTATTCCAGCACCCTGTCACTTACATCTGCTCACTTAATCCTCTGTAATTATGTGACCTCTTCAAATTGTAATGAGTTATTACGTGACCCAAGTTTTCAGTTCTTAAATCCACGGATCACTTATAGGCCATAAGATTTTCACACCACTTATCTGTCTGTGAACTGCAGTCCACTATTACACCACCCATTCTTAATGTGTTATTGACTGTAAAAACAAATGACCTTTGACCTTAAACTGCATATATATATATAGTCATTATTGATAACCCACGTCATTTCAATTATTCATATTAAGGTATGTCAACTGTTTCCCACATCACTGTTAAATCCTAATGCATATTTAGTTATAACGAATGCATACCACTGTTAATCAACATTTATCCTGGTTTCATTTTAATTCATAAGCGGAACTAATCACATGGAATTAAAATCTTAGCTACTGATACGATTTTAATTATAAACGTAATCCGACGAAGGTGAATATGATATGTGGGTGCCTAATCTGCAAGATTGTACGTGGATGTAGGGTTTCCGAATCATTCTTAATTATTACAAACAGTTACACATGAACGTCATTGCTATTTATTCCCATGAAACTAGGAATAAGAAGAAAATTAAAATTATGACAGTTTATTGAATAATCATTGCTGCTAAAGCAGAAAATCAAGTTTACAAGTTGGTATTAAGAATTCTTAAGTAATAATTGTCCACCTTCTTCTCAACTTCCGTTGCGAAACGTTCACCATACTTCTCAATGATGCGTTGCTTATGGATTCTTTGACTTCGTTGAATACTTATATACACTTCACTCCGTCGTGTTAATGCAGTTAATGTATAATTTTGGAAGTTCTGGGTATTATGTAACTTCCATCTGCTACAATACCTAAGAAGTTGATGAGCTATGCAGTTAGTATTTCATAATTGATATAGCTTACCTGTAAGATTTCGTCTTTTAACGTAGGCAAGTAGCATGTGACGGCAGGGATATCGGCACATCATAAACGTGCTACAATTGCATTGACAAATGCTTATATCAACTTCATAATGTTGTCCGCGATCAACCATAAACAACCAATCACCGCTTTCATATTCCACATAGACAAAACGCATTTGTTTAAGTTCGTATAACAATTTAGATCTAGCGAATGGGGTCAAAACGTTTAGCAGGGGTGTAAGACGCTGTGGAGCATTATATTTATAAGATCTTGCGGCTATCACTTGATCTTCGATACTTCTTCTAGCTGACGTCATTTCACTCCATTTTAAAGCCTTGTACATACACTTGTACAGACTATCACTTTTGCGTACATATCGTTTAATTTGCCTATTCAGCGATTCAACACGATTATTCGTGCTGTTACCCAATGTTAAAACATGACCGTAAAAGGCACGCGCCCACATCGTCTTACGTGCCATCCAAAAACGTGACAGGTACTGACCTATCAATCTGTCCCGCCGATTTATTATTCTGTAATATTGATTAAATCTATTGAATAAACACATTACAAAAATTACCTTCCAACCGTCTCCGCAGTTACCAATCGAGTTAAGTAGGCTTTCATTATTTTGTCGTTTGTCTAAGGGCAATTTTATATAAGTAACCATTGGTGTACCTTTTTCCGGAAAGCGCGAATTACATGAAAGGCGCACAAAATTATGTTTGCATGTCCGTGTGTCATACGGACAGCCGCGCTTTCACATCTTGCGCAGTCCATCACAAATGTTTCAGTCAACATTGTATCCCCCATTATCTCTTTGAATTGATCTAGAATCCATATAACATCAGCACGCTTTTCCCTTCGAGTCCATGCAAACATTACAGTTCGACCTCGACCGCAATTATCCGTCACTACTAACTGGAATAAGGAATATCTACATAGTAAAATACAACGATAAACATATTCACTTTTTATTATTAGTATTATACGTAGAATCAATGCACACAACTTCTGGATATTTTCTGTACAGTTGTATTTGGTTAGAACTACTGAAACATATTCTAGTGGCATATCCATTTTCTAAATGTTCCTTCACTTCGCCTCTCTGTCTAAGCATATCCATTACCTGGCTCCGAGTAAAACAACCTGAAATATATTTATATACACTTACCAGTGGAGAGTGTAGCTTTCATACCTTTGACATCGGCAGCAGTTGCTTGCTTACCAGTTCTCTCCTTAATGCTTTCGATAACTTCATCTGCTGACTCACAGTGAAGTATTACGGGCTTCAAGTTCTCTTTTTCTTCTGACGATAATCTCCTTGTCAATGGATCACATACCATCCATGAACTACTACATGAATGATTGTGGAGCATGTTGTAGGATTTGACGACATATCCTTGCTCCTCTAGTCTTACACGAAATTTAGATCGACAATTACGGAATTTAGACCTTAAACATAAGATATTAGTTAAAGATCTTACGATTTTTGCCTCACTTTCAAACCTTCCGATTTCCTCTTATGACCAAACGTACAATTAAACGATACAAACAGGTATTTGAACCTGACATCCTTCAGCAATCTGCTTTCTGTGTGGATGTAACGAGTATAAGTAGTCTGAGAAGCGATAAAATTATAATTCCATACTTTTTGGAACTCTTTTAAGGCGCTTTCAAAATCATCCCACAAGACGAAACGCTTGTTCAGTATCATACTTCGAAAGGCATCGGTTAGGTCGACTGAAATGTCACTTGAGCATGAAGCACTAAAAACAGAAATGACTAATTATTAAAAGGTTATTCCTTCCAACAATAATAACCCAAGAAAATACTACAAATACTTAGGATTTACCTGTGACTTGACATTTCGTTGAGCTTTACTACAGTTGTTGGGATCAAAGATCAAATTACAAAGCAATAACAGAGCCAACGTGTACACTACAAAACAGAGAACGCTAAATTAATGGTTTTGGTATTTATTTCGTGTTTTTTTATGTAGCATAACATGACTTATATATGAAAAAACTTGGTACTCATGCAATCCAACCAACCCACGGCAATTGAAATACGGAATGACCGCCTCTAGTCAAGCAGTTCAAGGTCGTTGAAACGAAAGGGCGGGCACATTTCAAAAGGACCTAACGTTTAAACCTTGCCCCGAGCGCCTTCAGCTAGGTGGATCCATTAGAACATGTAGTCAGCATCCAATGTCGGAAACTTACAGAGTTATTTATTTTGAGGATTTATTTACCTCTACAATGTCATGCCATGGATACTCCGCCTCATTTGACACAAAAAGCTAATGGCCTTCTTGGAAATCCGCTCTCAGTCAGCTCCTAAGAGCGTGGTCTCAGGCTTTTAGCCATGAAGCGCTTGTACACCAGCCCAAACTACATAGGGGATGCAGCGAAGGCAAATGCAACTCCCCATCTCGATAACTTAACATGCATATCGTTACCTCATATCAGTAATTGATATCCATGTCCCTTATTATCACTATTTCCCTAATTATTTTACAATTCCATCCTCCTACAAATTAAAAATTAAGTAAATCATTTTTTTATTCTTGAGACAATCGTCTTCTCAACACTCAAATTATCACGTTATTAATTTACGTTGCAACCAACTAGCATCCTGCCAGAGAATGTGATAACGGCTGGCATCCAGAATCGCATGAAACCCAACCTGGTAATCGTTATCTACTAACACTAAACGCGAACAATCATCTCCATGCTTCACAACCACATAGCAACGCAAAATTGAACAGTACACCTCTACCGTTACTCTGCAAGGATAATTTGATGGACATATAAATGAATGTGTGTAAGACTGAAGAGAAGTTACAATTTCAAACGTCTTGTTATCCCCAAGTATAACTATGATCAGTTAGAACAACAGATTCTGACTATGTTGAAGATGGATTGGGGAAATATGTCTTTGCATGATTCCAAGCATGAACGGATGAGAATATCAGTCCGAGATTCACCAAGAGTGTGGATTGAGTGATACATATTAATGAACATCTCTATCAGATTTTTATTCTCTGTGGGACTTTGCATGTTGTTCATTGCATGGAGAACCAAATCAATAATTTAGTTCCTTATTCAACAATCGCTGTTTTGAAATAAATCTGATTGTTATAATGATGCACACTTAACTCTAAGGATTAGATCTTTGGCACTGGGATACAAAATGTGACTACACAGCAACATATAGTCATTGAAACACAAACACATTGTGCACACAGTATCAACCACACATATTATTCCTTTGTCGTAGCAGCGGATGATTTATCTAGCTACAACTTCGTGTTTTATTCTCCTAACCCGTTTGTAATAACAGCTACAATTCCGGCTGAGATAATTGTAGGCCCGTTCAAAAGGATTCGCAGCAACCTTGGAATCGGAAACTGACAACACTTGTAAATAAATTTCGTACTTCCAGCTTTGGGAAACGATGAAGGTGCTTGCATTGTATGGACCCGAACCTAGGTCAGGGTCCGTTCTACTAAAATTTTTCCAGAACATCAACGTCTTCGCATCGTTGTCGCCTGCGCGCGTTGTTGTGGTGTGCGCTTTCTAGAGACCGTCAGATATGACTAGCTTGAATGGTGGAAAACTTCAAAATAAAGTTGTTATGATCAGTTACCTAGACAACTTTGTTGATCTGATGAGTCGAGTGAATATATACCACTCCTGAAAGCGCGTTGTAAGCTGTTGTTTGCTTTTGGCAACTACAGTAAATCATGGACATATTCTCATTTTCTCGGAATGCTTCTACTTCTGTGGTTGACGTGACGCACTGTAAAATAACTTTTATATGTCTAGTGTCTGAAATCAATTAATTAGAGCGTACTTTTGACAACCCGGATACGACTGTGACCGTATTTCGGCGACATAGACTTTGATAAACTGATCGTGGAACTTCCAGGAAACCAGATATCGAAGATTACGTGTTGTAGTACTACCCAGCAAAAACGGTCCTCAGTATTACTGTTCAATCGACATCAGCTGTCGGTTCGGATGATCGACAGAAATGTATCCGTCTGTGCAAAGATGGTTGTGCACGGTTTCAACCTAGGTGACCTTTAGCTCACCTTTCACTGCACATACTGAGATTCCGGGTTGGCGGTCATAATACTTAGACCCAAAACATAAATTTTTATTGGATGAAGCACGCGTGGATGATCAACATCACATTTGAATAGGTTGTTGTAGTGGGTTAGAAGGTGTATGGTCTTTAGGAGAATGATTATCAATACCACTATCTGCATTGTAAAGGCAAGGAAGTAATCCTGATGCACTGAGTTTACGCGCGTATGTGCAATAACGATAGGAGGTCTATAGACCTATATTAATCCTTGCAGTATATAACACTATAGTTTTGAGATCACTACTTATAATGACTCCTAAATCTTTATAGTTTCTTACTTTGGGTAATATGAATCCACATGTTGTGTAATGATACGAATCATCGTAATTATATTATATTATAGAATTATGGTCCATTATATTATTAATACCGCTCCAATAATAGGCTTATCCTAAAATCGTAGATTTGTCATGATGTAACTGCCTAATCTGTGAAATCTTACGTGAAAGTCACATAATTGTCTACACTGACTCGTCATATCGTAACAATTACCAAAATATGGTGGAGAACGCGTTCAGGCTGGAGATGGAAGAATATATTTAATATGAGTAAAAGATATAAGGTAACATTCAACAGGAACCACGCCTGCAACGTCGAGCCATGCCACCCGATCAACTCGAATTAATTCAATCCATCGTTCTCGCCTTCTCCATCGTTATGTTTTTCCCCGCATTAAATATTAAATATCTATTTCCCCAGTTGTCTCGTGTTCAGCTTTGAGGATTGTGTAGTTATAGACCGATACCACTACAGTATCACCACACTCTTGTTGGGATTCACTCCTAGTGACCATCCGTCCATACATGCCACCAATGAATTGAGATCATCCTGTAATACTATTTGACACACTGTGTATTGGTCTCCAAATCTTTATGTCATCGGCGAAGGGCAAAACGTTCGTGGGACTGATCGGCAAATGTGTGATCGTAGGACAAAAGGGTTGGCAGGACAGAAAGCGATCGTTGATCCTCGAGTTGTCATCGAAGGTCTTTTATGCAGGACGGCACCAGGAGAAACGTGCTGTAATTGTTGCTTGAATTAACGTGCCACACCAGAGTGGTTCGTATCCAGGATCTGAGGATTGAGTTCGTCGGGGTCCGGACTAGAAAACGTTGCAGACGTAGGGCGGAACCACATTGAGCCAAGAAGACAGGAGCGACCGTAACGGCCAAGTTCAAAACCAAACATATAACTAGTCAGATTCGAAAACAGAATATCGACTGATTGCGTTGACAAGAGCTTGGACGATCAGGCCATCTTTCGCCAAAATTGACTGAAATCGACAGTACCAAATGGACGATGGTCAGAGGCGTGGGCTCAAGATACAAAAAAACAGCGAAAAAAAGAAAAGGTGTAGCGTGCAAGTAGTACAGGGATAGAGTCCTATACCGTATTCGTTGTTGATTGAGAGGTTGTCACGAAAGCGTACGGGTAGGCGTACTCGGCGACAGGAACGTGAGACGGTAGTCCCGTTTTTACCTCGTGAGACTGCAATCTCATCCGAAGTCAAGGGCGGTGTGGTCTGCTGATCTGGACACGAGGCTAATTTCTCGTCCGCAGATGGTGCAGATGACACGTGCCGTTGACCAGGACATGGGAATGAGGTCTCTGAAGTATCTGGCGTGCGATCTGAAGTAGATGTGGGGATACCGCTAGTAGGATTGATGGGTCTAGCATTGGGTCTCGACTTATCAGGTAGGGCACTGTGATCGATATGTGCTGGCTTGAGACGATCAACGCTGACTATCTCAATGCGGCCGTGTCGATCAACCTTGGAGGTCTTTTCATGAGGGGAAATCACGCGAAAGGTTCCTTCGTAAGGCTGTTGCAAAGGTTTGCGTACCGAATCTACTCGTATGAAAACATATGAACAGGTAGATAACTCTTGAGGGAGATCGACCTGTCGATGCTGTATTCGAGTTGACACCGGAGGCAGTGTTCTCATAAATTCAGACAATCGTTGGACGTAGTCTGATTTACCAAAATGGTTGTTGCTCCGTGGTGTGAAAAATTCCCCAGGCAGACGCAATGCCGTGCTGTATACAAGTTCAGCGGTGGGACATTGAATATCTGCCTTTAAGCTCGTTCTGATATCTGAGAGGACGAGCGGTAAGTTTCGCACCTAGTGTTGTTTTCGTGTGATCGAAGAGCACTTTTAAGATGGCGATGAAACCGTTCAACTAAACCATTTGATGCTGAGTGGTAGGCGGTAATGCGTATGCGTTCCATACCAAGCAGCCGGGTCAGTGAGTAGAACAATCCGGACTCGAATTGTTGTCCTCGGTCAGTCGTGACAGTTAAGGGACAACAGTACAGCGCTATCCATCGTTATATGAAGCGGTGAGCAACTGTCTCCACCGTAATAGACGTGATGGGAATAGCTTCGGGCCATCTTGTGAAACGATCGATGCATGTGAGTGTGTGATCACACCCATGCGATCGTGGCAATGGTTCCACAATATCTATATGAACGTAATCGAAGCGAGCATCAGGCGTAGCGAATGTGCCAATGGGGGCAGCTACGTGCCTGTGCACTTTTGACCGTTGACATTGTAAGCATTCCTTTTCTCATATACGGAATTCTTTATTCATGGACGGACGGACGTATAGTTCAGCGATGAGGCGTAATGTGGCTGGGATACCTGGATGAGACAGTCCATGTAGAGCATCGAAGACGAGAAAACGGTAAGCAGAGGGTACGATGGGTCGGGGAA